AAAGTGAAAATTCTTAGCTTGGGGAGCCCCCACGAGGGAAAACCACCCTTAGCCTCTCTCACGGACCGAAATAAACCTGTGGTGTGGGCGGCCACCCCACGCGGAAGCGGGGTGAATACCAGAAAATATGTCAAATAAAATATTATGAAATGTCATGAGATATGCCAAATAAAATGCCAGAAGAGATGCCAGATAAAATGCCATAATATAGGTCAGATAGAATACCAGAAAATATATCAGATAAAATATCAGAAGATATACCAAATAGAATGCCAGAAGATATGCCAGATAGAATGCCAGAAGGTATGTCAGATAAAATACCAGATAAAATGCCATGAGATACCATGAAATATACCAAATAAAATATTACAAGATATACCAAATAAAATTCCAGAAGATTTGCCAAATAATATACCAGAAGATATGTCAAATAAAATACCAAATAGAATGCCAGAAAATATGCCAAAAAATATGCCAGAACATATACCAGAAGATATGCCAAATAAAATGCCAGAAAATATGTCAGAAAATTTGCCAGTAAAAAAATATATAAATCTCATAATGGGGATCGTATGAAATAAAGTAATTAATTTTTTTATTAAAGGATCCGGTAGTTTGCCAAAGTGTTGCTGAAGGCGCCCGGCATGGTGCAGATCAGGGGTCCGGCTTGATTCAAATACTACTGAGGACGACCGGTGATCCGAAATAATTATAAATTATTGCAGAAAATTTAAGGGTAATTTATTAATTAATGTTGTTTTCTGAGATTACCAAGCTACAAATAATTAAAATACTCCTGAAGGTATCCGATATAATATCAATTAGGATACCCGGCATGGTACCAAAGGCTTCAACAAATCATCAGAAAGGGTTTTAAATCAGGCTAGTGCCTAATGTTATTTGCTAAAATCATTACCCAAGAGGTTATAAAAGGCGCCGGAAAATTCAAGGATAATTTTCTAAAATTCTTAAAATATTGTTCAGGGCAGCGGGAAAGATTTACGGGTAACCCATTGCCCAATATTATTTTTAAATTATTTAAGGTTAAGTTATTATCGAATATTATTATTTAACCTAGAATCCAAATAATAGAATCCCAGGTTTCGGAAAAAATATACCTTTTCCTTCAATATATTCTCCCTATTGCTGTCGGGATCGCGGATATTTTAATTATTTTGTTTATTTCAAAAAAAATATTCCTATAAATAAATAAAAATTTAATTAAATATTAATTTTTAAAAAAATAATTATTAAAAATTCCAAATAAAAAAATTATTATTAGTAATAAAATGTAATAAATATAAATATTAAAATACTAGGGTCGGCCCGCTATTTCCAACAGCGGGAGGTTTACGTTAAGTATGTTGAACAAATCCCAAAAAATTATCCCCCTTC